CTAATCGAGGAACTGATTGAATTTGCATGTAACTGAAATGATTGTTTAGAGGTGAAGATGAATTTCGACAAGCGTTGGATGTTGTTTAAGTGACTTGAAATTAGATATGAAATTAGGCTGTGAAGGCAGCAAAAGCAGGCCTCTCCTCACTGCCTCCCGGCTTTCAGGATGGAGGCCTGGCGCAGGATGGGGACGTCCTGAATGAACAACACAGTTAGCATCACTGACTATGTCGCTGAGAGATACAACCCAGAGAGAGGACTCTCCAACATGTTGGTGTCAGGCTTTAATGCTCTCAAGACAGAGGGAGAACTGTCAGGTGTTCTCTGTCCTTCATGAGGAGTAAATTTTCCATGCTTACCAGAAATGGATTATCTTCTGACTCCTAAAGATACAAGGTTATGGCCCTTATTTGACTTGATTACAAACAAAGCTATCTTGGGTCGGATGCGATGCAGGCTGAGGAAATGGGGGTTCTAGAACTATCCTCTCCTCTGCCTTAAATAAACAACTACTTTCCAGGTACAAAGGAACAGGCATCCTTCTCAGAAAGAGGTGGTCATGATGTTGACCAGCCAATTACTTCCTTCAGGTCATACCACAAAGCCAAACAATGAGAGGTTTTCTGTTGCTTTGAATAACTCCTCAACAAAGCAACGTTCATCGGAATCATTCAAAATAGAATCAAAATACACAAGGGCTCAGCACAACTTGTACAAAGAAAGGTTATGGAAGCTCCATAGACACATCCAAACTCCCTGAGGGACGGAATTGCTGGGCGGAGGGCTGTGGGGACCACGGTCTCAGGGAACATCTAACTCAATTCTAAAGAAAATGTTCTACATTCTACCTTGGTGAGTAGCATCTGGCGTCTTAAAAGCATATGAGCAGCCATCTAAGATACTCCACTGGTCTCACCCCTTCGGGAACAAAGGAGAATGAAGAAAACAAGATACAAGGGAAAGATCAGTCCAAAGGACTAATGGACCACGGCTACCACGGCCTCCACCAGACTGTCCAGTACAACTAGATGGTGCCCGGCTACCACCACTGACTGCTCTGACCAGGATCACAACAGAGGGTCCTGGACAGAGCTGGATAAAAATGTAGAACAAAATTCTAACTCACAAAAAAAGGCAAGACTTACTGGCCTGACAGAAAAACCCTGAGAGTATGGCCCCCGGACACCCTTTTAGCTCAGTAATGAAGTCACTCCCAAGGTTCACCATCCAGCCCAAGATTAGACAGCCCCATAAAACAAAATGAGACTAATGGGGCACAACAGCCCAGGGGCAAGGACTAGGAGGCAGGAGGGGACAGGAAAGCTGGTGAGAGGGAACCCAAGGTTGAGAAGAGACAGTGTTGACATGTTGTGGGGTTCTTAACCATTGTCATAAAACAAGGTGTACTAACTGTTTAATGAGAAACTATTTGTTCTGTAAACCTTCATCTAAAGTACAATAAAAAAAAATTTAAAAAAAAATATACAAGGGCTTATGGGAAAAGTTCACTCAGAAAGGCTGACTATGGTTCTAGATGATACTGTGCTGGAAGGACACGCCGTGGCAACAAGAGGAACCGGAACAAAGCCAAGGCTTCAGCAGAGACAGGGCCCGGCTGGCAGGTACTCAGGGGTGTCCAGGATTACAGCTGGGTCTAGGGCTGCTTCCCCTGGGATAGTCTGACCCATGGCTCCCCTGACAGAAGCACGTTGTAGGGAGTGAGCCCTTTGGTCTCTCACCCGTAAGATCAAGTCTGCCCAAGAGCTGGAGGGAACCGAAGCTCAGCAGCCTGTCTTCTCCTCACCCTCAGCCTGTCTGTCTGCTCTGTCTTCTGCTTTACATTATCACCTTGTGGATAAGTCCTGATGGACGATTCAGGCCTACCGTCTTCTAGAAGGGGGCCAGAGGCAGGTAGGTAATTACAGTGTCATTGGGAAAAAATGCCCCCATTTTATCAAGCGTTGAAAGCCCATTGCCACCGAATCAACTTCCGACTCACGGCGACCTCATGAGTGTCAGAGTAGAACTGTGCTCCGTAGGGTTTTCTATGGCTCTGATCTTTACAGAAGCAGATCACCAGGCCTTTATTCCGTGGTGCCACTGGGAGGATTTGAACTGCCAAACTTATGGTTAGCAGCTGAGCACGGACCATTTGTACCCCCCAGGGACCTATCAAGCATTGACGCTCCCTAAAAGGAGCTGTGCACACACACGAGGTGGGAGAGGCTGAGGGGTCAACACCACCGTTCCTCTGTTGTAATTCCACACCCTCCCTAACTGGGCCAGAGGAGGCCAGGGCTATGCTAGGGAATTGCCTGCCACTTGTGTGGGCCTGTTTCTGTCCCTGAGGACTTCAGACGATAGACTAGCCGGTCAACACTCATCTGACCCCAGCCTTTCCAGAACTGGATTCGCCTTCAGGGTTTCCTTTCAGTGGTTGAATCAGCAACAGAGAGAAACACAAATATCTGTTCCCACGGGGCTACTCCAGGGCAAAGGAGGAGACTAAACATCCCAATTGTATTTCTATAATACTTACAAAGCGGCCCCACAAAACATGACTTGGGCACTGCCAGGTGAGTCTAGGCGGCTGACGTGGGCCTTTCCGGGCAGCAAGGGAAACCCCCGGAGGTATTTCAGCATCCCAGGTGCAAAGAGAAGGAGGTGTTAGTTTTACCAAACGCCTCATGGTTTGCCTCAGACTGCAGCGTCTGCATTCTTGACCCTGCCACTGGTCTCTGGTGCCACCTGTTAGGTTTTGGCCTGGAACCAGCTAAAGGCTGTGTACCTACTCATGTTGACCACGCCTCCTCTAGACCTACTCAGAGCAAAACAAAGACAACCGAGTTGGTTGGTTTTCATCTCCTCCTGGCACCAGATGCTCTGAACTTATAAAGCAAGTGTATTTGGATGAAACAGACCCCACTGCTAACCCCACATTAACCTCAAGCCTGAAATGACTCTGTGTCAGGTAAAAGTGCTAGGGTCCCAGAAAAGGAGCCATGGTGGCACAGTGGTTAAGTGCTCAGCTGCTAAACAGAGGCTCCTTGGAAGACAGGCCTGGTGATGTGCTTCTGTAAAGATCACAGCACTGAAAACCCCATGAGCACAGCTCTACTCTGTAACACGCGGTACATGAGTTGGAATCGACACGAAGGCAACAACCACAAGTGTTTGCATACAGCACTCTCCGAACTCCAAGAGGCCGGAGAGTCTAAGATCAGATCAGATAAAACATAAATTAAAACCTAGTTGCTACTTCCAATGGAAATTCTTAAAGTTGTTACACCCAAAATAATCCTGTTTTTTTTTTTTTTTCCTATGAAGCAAAACAGGCCCAACCAATTAGAGAAATCAGTGGTTAAAAGCTTGGCTGCTAACCGAAAGGTCGGCAGTTCGAATCCACCAGCCACTCCTTGGAAACCTTATGGGGCAGCTCTCCTCTGTCCTATGGGGTCGCTGTGAGTCAGAAGTCGGAATCAACTCAATGGCAGCAGATTTTGTTGCTGTTATTGCTGTTCGGAGTAGAGATAGAGAAGTCTTTTCTTCTCACGAAAGGTATTGGCAAGCTCGAAGATACATTCCAAGAACTTCACCTTTCATATAAACCAGAAGCGCCTGGTCCATTCCACCCTGCTCTCCAGCCCCACTGAATTCTAGAACGTCCCTGCTCTGCAGGATCAGAGGCTCCGTGCTTGCCAGGGCAGTTCCTGGAGCGACAGCCCAACCTGCTCGGCCTTAGAAGGTCCCTAACTTCCCTGACCTCGCTCCCACCCTTGGGGTTTTGGTACCAGGTCCCTGAGACAAGACATAATGTAAGTGGTCAATTTATCCATTTTCAGATGAGATTTTTTTTTTTTTTCCAATTGAATTCAGAGCTACTCAACCAGATGAAATCAGTTACTTTCATAGACTCAGGTCATGCTTTAGGTTCTCCAAAAGGCAAAGGAGAAACAATTGTCCCCCCTAACATTACTGATCTTTGAGAGCAGAGCTTTCTCCTCTGCTATCAGAAGGCAGGGACATATGATCCAAGCAGTCAACCAAGGGGACCTGGCCCTGGTTCCTCAGGCATCCCTGGTGACCCTGGCCCAGAAAGACCCCTCTTCCTGGGTCAGGCCAGGCCTGGATCTAAGTGAGCCACCTCTTCCAGGCCTGACACCAGGAGAGGATGCTGTCTACTGCTAGGGGAGACAGGTACCCGTAGGGGGACTAGGACATGCTGGTCTATGAAGATGGCCCAGCCCAAGGGCCCCCTATCCTCAGAGTTCCCAGGAGAATTCCCAGGGGTGACAGAGGGATCAGAGCACAGCTGTGTGGGCAGGAAAGCCCCTTCTTGAGCTAGAGTAGATAGATCAGTATGTGGGAGGAGCGAGCAGTGTAGCTCAGAGAAGAGGGACGCTTGCAGAGTGTGTACAGGCTGGATTAGAGTGTCAGGATGCAGTGGCCTAGACAGACCTCGGTTTACAAAGCAAAGAGCTAGGAGACAGACTGCTTACTGGCAAGGGACATTTCATCTCTATGAAGTTTATCCCAGACAGTCAAAAACATAGAAGAGTGAAGGAGTAGAGGCCAAAGGGTTGAAGACTCCATGCATCACCCACATTCCTCTGTCCCCCCAACACGATTCATGAGTCACAGCTGAATTGGAGGGCCAGCTAACTCATCCATAAGTATGGTCGATTCCATTACAAATTACACCAGTGAGCACGACATTTATCCAGCACTCACTACACTGCACGAGTATGCCAACCATGCTCAGTATAGTCCCCTGGGGAAAAGACTAGCATGTTGCTTTTTCAGGCTACACTAATTCAGGTAATAGGGGTCTCCAAATGCATGACCTGGCGGATCTAAGAGGGTTACAAGACGGTTGTCATGGTGCATACCACACCCTACCTACATGAACAGTGATGTCCAACATTAACACGCAAATAAAGTCAATGAAGAAAAGAGAACAGAAAGAAAGGGATTGGAATGGTGACCCAAATCTAGCCCATTTATATATTTAATACTATTTTTTCCTAGCACAGGACCATCTCCTTCATAAATACACTGACGAACTGCACTGGTTATAGAAATAGGACAGCATGAGTTATAAGTCTATGTATAGATTTAATTTAAAACCATTTCTTAACAACATCAAAAAATATAAACTTAAATTATTTTAACCCTGTTTCCTGCTGAGACGTGGTAAACAAATGCATGCCTGAAGTTAAACTTGGTCTATAACACATTCAGTCGAAAGTTTCTAACTAAAGGGTATATCTGCTTGTTTCAAAAAATACTTATGCCTGTTGTTCCTGATACAAAATTCTATACTATCTTCAATAAATAAATAATAAAGTGTTTCTTAAAAGTATGAAATGTAAACTTTGTTGTCCTTCCAACATATGCTTTTTAAAAATTATTTTAAATATGACAGGGCTCTTATGGGAAATCATAACACTACGCATTCAGTTCCCAGCAAGGTGGGGACTCTTCCACTATGCTGATGCTATCATTTATAAAGCGCTTCCACTACCCTAATTAACTTCTAAGGACCTACAGTCAAAGAGAACACCACCCAACACAGGAAAACTAGACTCCAGTACCAAGAGAACAGGCAAAGAACATTTCATGACCACAGCGAGCTGGGATTATGAGAACATTAACATGCAAACTAAACACAGCTTACACTTTTCATGAGCCAATCAAGTTATTATCTAATTATCAGCCTATCTCCTCGGATGTAAGGGGAAAATAAAGAGACCAAACAGCTTGGCACGTGGTCAGACACTCCTGTCTCTGGCACAAGTATTTATTTCCATTACTGAGAGTTTGGGTGTCTAAGGATGACTATGGGAAAGGGTCTTGGATCTTCTTCTCTAGACTTCAGGACTTGGGTGCTCCTAAGGTCTTCTCCCCACCACACAACAGATTTCCTTCACGTCTTTCCACTCCACCTCCAGATTGTGTTCCTAGTCATTTTTCCTTTTTACAGTTTGGAGGAGAAGCCTGGATCCAGGACATGCCTTTCTGGGAGCATACCAAGCACAGCTGCAGGAGTTTCTTGCGACATTCAGGATCCGGCACATTCAAGCACAGAATGGCTCACAGCTGGCCACCAACAACTACTCTTGTCATAAAACATCAGAGGGCCTCCAAGCCAAAACAGAATTTTCCGACACGGTTGGCGACCTCAACCCAGTGACGTTGTGAAGTAGCCTTTCTGGTGACCCGCCTGGTCTAATCCAGCAGAGTGTGACTCTGTAGGTAACGCGCTTCCTCGACCGCCTTCCAAGCACGCTGAGAATCAGGACTGAATCGCCCAGGAGCGTGCCAGTGCGTGTTCATGAACGTCAATTGATACCAGGCCTAGAGGGGAATGGAATGGCTTTAACAGCACACCTGCTGGAATTTTCCATGGACCAGCTCTTCAAAGAGCTAACTTGGTGCCTGATCAGGAGGCCACCGCAACAAGCCATCAGATCCAAGACAGCATTTCAAATAAGGCCCCCCAGAGCCTTTCTGGGGAAATAGGAACCTGAACCACAATAAGCCCATAATAACTGGTTTCTAAACACACCAAGACTAGGCATTGTAAGTGAAGGCGCCTAGGGGGCAGGTAGAGATAAGAAATAGGAAGGTTACATGAGTTCTCAAAAAATACAGACATTGCATTTATAAACCTATTTTAGGACAACCAGACCCATGCCTCAAGGCTGGAGATGGGGCAGACTCCCATCCAAACCCGGGGAAGGGAGGGGATTTCAGAGACCCTCGGACCCATGGCGGACTGACAAAGGAAAGCACAGTTTTTGTTCCATAAAATGGGAAATGGTTTTGGGGGAAGGATTGTCAAGGACTATTCCTAGAAGCACTGAGAGCCTGTCTTCACTGTCCCACTGCCCTGGGGCTGAATACCAACCAGGAGTTTCTCAGAAAAGGAACGCGATTTCCAGACAGCATCTGCTGCCTTGAGCTGGAACTCCACTGAGACACTCCCTATGGTTCGTCAAACAGCTGCAGGTCCAAGCGGACCACAATCTCTCCTGTCGGAACCTCGTGGAGCAGGAGACACTTCGTAACCGGGCCCTTGGAACCCTGATCTCTTTTGATGTCGGCCACTCGGATCTCTGTCCGACCCAAAAAATCTGAAAGGAAAACAAACAGACCCTAATCAGAGACATATTTCCTTCTCTCCAAGGCATGAATTTAGCCTAGTGGGAATCTCCCAAAGTAGCTGTATACTTTCCCTTCTTCCAGAAAAGATTTAAGTCAGTTTGCAAGAATCCATGAGCTATGATGATGGAGCATGACTTCTAAATCAGGTGAAGAGAAAAGGACACCAGAGTGGGACAAAGGAGAGCCCAGGACGAGGCTAAAAAGCAGACCACAACTTTCCCGGCACGTGCTGCCAGGGACCTCGAAAGGGCTGGAAGCTCTCTCTCCGGGAGGTAATGCAAAACTGGGCCTCTTAGCAGCTGCACAATTTACAATGTGTGTGAGGTTTTGAAAAGTCCCCCGGGAGAAGGACAACTACTTTCGAGGCTAAAATTGGACAGTAATTTCTCCCCAGGGTTGTCACAGGAGCGCGCTACGTGATGTCATACCCTTTTCAGAAGAGTCTAGGATGACGAGCTAGGGCTTGTCTTCAGAGTGCCCCTCAGTATACGCCAGAGAGCAGACACGGGAGGTGGGAGAGGAGGCAGCAGCGTGTGAGCGGCGTGCTTCCAGCAACGTTCCGCCAACAACCTCAAGGCCACGTGTACCAGACACTGCGTGTCAGTGCTACGGATCGAGTTGTGTCTCCCAAAAAGACTTGTTGAAGTCCTAACCCCTATGCCTGTGAATGTGACCTTATTTGGCAATAAGGTGAAGATGTTATCAATGAAGTTAATGAGGCTGTTCCAGAGTAGGGTGGTGTCCTGTAAAACCAGAGGTTGAGGAGACAGTGTGACACAGAGTGAAGACAGATGCCAAGTAAAGATGCAGCCAAAGCCAAGGAATGTCTAGAAAAGCTCGGGGCTACCAGAGGTGTAATGATACTGAGCACCCAGGGGCCATCTCTAAGTCTGCGCCCTCCCCTGCCGGCCTCCTGGGTGGGGTGGGGGGCTGGGGGGTGGTTCTTCGCCACCTGGCCTCATCTGGCCTCCCTTGGACTTAACACCTGGGGGCAAATTCCGCCTCTAACTCCTCCTCTCTCCACCTCTGAGGGTTACCAGAAGCTGGAAGAGACAAGAAAATGTCTTCCCCCGGGGCAGACAGAGAGGGCGTGGCTCTGCCAACACCGTGAATGTGGACTCCCAGCCTCCTGAACTGTGAGACACTAAATTTCTGTTCTTTAAAGCCACCCACTGTGTGGTATTTTATTATGGCCAGGCTAGGAAGCTAAGGAGGTCAGTAGGATGATGTATGTGAACATGTTGAAAACGATTGAATGCAAACACACAATGGTGTGCAATGAGCCTCCAGGCCACTAACTGCTTTGTTTATTCATTCAACCTGTATCGGGAACAGCCTTATTTCCAGTTTCTCATTTAAAATCTGGAAATTCTTCCTCTTGGGCAGTGTGTTGGGTTGAATAGTACCTCCTCCCCAATTCATGTCCACCTAGATCCTGCGAATGTAACCTTATTTGGAAATGGAGTCTTTTCAAATGCAGTCAAGATGAGGTCATATTGGGTTAGGATGGGCCTAATCTGACAGATGTCCTTATAAGAAGAGGGAAATGTGGGCACAGAGACGGAGACACACAGAGGGAAGACAGCCACGTGGAGACAGAGGCCGAGACTGGAGTTACGCCGGGAATCAGGAGTGATTCACAAACCAGGGGACACCAAGGATTGTCGACGACCACCAGAAGCTACAAGGAAGATCCTTCCCGAGAGCCTTCAGAGAGACTGTGGCCCCCTGGGTTTCAGACTTCTAGTCTCCAGAACCACGAGAGGATAAATCTTTTTTTTTTACGGCACCCAGCCTGTGATCAGTTTTTACAGCCGCCCTGGGAGATCAACACAGGAAGAAATAGGTTTATTTTGCCCCGACTTGCATTTCATGGGAATAATCTCTGATGTAAGAAGAACACTAGGATTTACAATGTACATCCCAGTGAAGCTGTCAATGTGTCACGACATTTTATTATTAAAAGAAAAATCTAACCCCCATACGTCACTTGCCAGAGTAGAAAGTGACAATATGACCGCAGTGGGTAAGAGCCCAGACTTGGGAGTCGGACTGTTCTGGGTTCAAGGCCATGCTCTGACATTTAACCGGCTGTGTGACTGACCTGGGGCACTAACCAACAGAACCTAAGTTACAATGAGACAATTCATAGAAGAGTGATAAAACCCAAAGGCCACGAAGAACAACGTAATGGCACAGATGGTGCTATCTTTAGATCTCCACTCCCAGTACTTGTTGTTAGTTGCCTTTGAGTCAACTCCAACTCACAGTAACCCAACTCACAGTGACCTGACTCACAGTGACCCTGTGTATAATAGGACAGAGAACTGCCCTGTCCTGCTCCATCTTCATGACCACTGGCATGTGTGAGTCCACTGTTGTGGCCACTGTGTATTTTGAGTGACTTCCAGCCTAGGGGGCTCATCTTCCATCACTATATTGGACAATATTCTGTGTGATCCATGGGGTTTTCATCAGTTAATTTTCAAAGAAGATCACCAGTCCTTTCTTCCTAGTCTGCTTAGTCTGGAAGCTCCACTGAAACCTGTCCACTATGGGCAATCCTGCTGGTAATCGGAATAGCAGTGGTGTGGCTTCCAGCATCACAGCAATGCGCAAGCCACCACAGTACAACGAACTGTGGAGCTAGGGTGGTGGTCTTAGTGCCACATCACACCTAAAAGAGCATAATTATGAACAACTACAATTTATAATTACATTCATAAATGTACCAATTATAAATAGATATTCCTTGGAGCATAATTAAGTTAAATATTAAAATCTTTCCATTTACTTTCTGATTTTTATTGGGTTGGAGGAGGGAGGGATAGTTTTTTGTAGTCAGTGGCCAGAGACCTTTCTTTTCCAGGCGCAAAGCAGAAACCCAGCTGGCTGAAGGAAGGAAGGCTGCGGCACCACAGCTTCACCCCTTTTACTGAGCAGAAGTGTCACCCAAAGGGCACCGCCGGATCCGCCCCACCTATCGTGGGCTAAAGGTCTTCTTGCTCATGGGCGAGTTTCATTCTTCACTGTGATGGCCAGTTTCACGTGTCAATGTGGCTAGGCTACGCTGCCCAGTCGTGCGGTCAAACACTAGTCTAGATGTTGCTGTGATTCAAATTTACAGTCAGTTGACTTTAAGTAAAGGCAATTACCCTCAATACATAAGGAAAACAAAAATCCTCACAACTGGATCAATAAGCAACATCATCATAAACAGAGAAAATACTGAAGTTGTCGAGGGTATCACTTTACTTGGATCCACAATCAATGCCCATGGAAGCAGCAGTCAAGAAATCAAACAATGTATTGCATTAGGCAAATCTGCTGCAAAAGACCTCTTCAAAGTGTTAAAAAGCAAAGATGTCACTTTGAGGACAAGGGTGCGCCTGACCCAAGCCATGGTATTTTCAATCACCTCATATGCATGCGAAAGCTGGACAATGAATAAGGAAGACCGAAGAAGAATTGACACCTTTGAATTATCGTGTTGGTGAAGAATATTGAATAGACCATGGACTGCCAGAAGAACAAACAAATCTGTCTTGGAAGAAGTACAGCCAGAATGCTTCTTAGAAGCGAGAATGGCAAGATTTCGTCTCTGTCCTTTGGACATGTTATCAGGAGGGGCCAGTCCCTGGAGAAGGACATCATGCTTGGTAAAGTAGAGGGTCAGCGAAAAAGAGGAAGACCCTCAATGAGACGGATTGACACAGTGGCTGCAACAACGGGCTCAAGCATAACAACCATTGTGAGGATGGCACAGGACTGGGCAGTGTTTCGTTCTGTTGTACACGGGGTCGCTATGAGTCGGAACCAACCTGACGGCACCTAAGAACAACAAAAACTCTCAGTAATGTGGGTGGGCTTCATCTAATCAGTTGAAGGCCTCAAGAGCAAAAATTGTGGCTTCCTGGAGAAAAGAAAGAATTGTGCCCAAGACTGTGACATAGAAATTCTGCCTGAGTTTCCAGCCTGTTGCCTAACCTAGGGATTTTGGACTTGCCAGCCTTCACAATCAGAAACTAATTCATTAAAATAAATCGATCTCTATCTTTATCAATTGTAAACATAGACATATAGAAAGAGGGATAGAGAGAGGTAGATAGCCTATGTACAACGAAACCAAATGTTGCCCAGAACTGCGTCATCCTCACAATCACCAGCAGGTTCCGGTCCATCATTGCGGCTATTGCGCTAATCCATCTCACCAAGGGTCTCCCTCGCTCTCGCTGGCCCTCTACTTCACCAAACGTGATGTCCTCCTTCAGCAACTGATTCCTTCTGATGACTGTGTCCAACGCAAGAGAGCCAGACAATGTTCTGCTGTGATCTGTAAGGTTTTCATCAACTAATTTTTGGAAGTAGATCACGAGGCATTGCTTCCTAGCCTATCTTAGTCTGGAAGCTCCACTGAACCCCGTCCAGCGTGAGCGACCCCACTGGTGTTTGAAATATTGGTGGCATAGCTTCCAGCATCATAGCAACATGCAAGCCACCACAGCATGACAAACTGACATATGGGTGATGGAGACATAGATACGGGTACAGCCTCGGAAACTCTATGGGGCAGTTATACTCCGTCCTACAGACAGGGTCGTTATGAGTCGGAGTCAGCTTGACGCACACAACGACCAACACCCACGTAGGTATACACGTGTGTATAGCCTATTGGTTCTGCTTCTCTGAATACGATTGCCACTGCGGCTTCTGCCAAGGACTAAAGAACTGTGCTGAGGTTTTGAGGCTCCCTTGCCCTTGCAAACACCTGCCCTTGGAAAGCATAACACCACGGCCTTTGTCTGGGGCAGCTGGCACACCTCTAGATGAAGCACGCTCTGTCCACAATCTCCAAAACGCCCCCAGCATCGTGAAGGGCTCCCTCAGGAGAACTGAGCCTTCGTTTGTGCCACACTCATCTCTTGGGAGGGAAGCCCATGAATTCTGGGCACCGAGTTCTCAGGTAAGAAGACCTTTACTCGTGACCACCGAGTGACGGGGGGAAGGGCAGGCACGTGGTGGGTGGGGGGCGTGCCTCCTACTCACCGTCGGGGGAGAACTGATCTCTCTCAAACACGGTGATGCAGAGAACTTCCTGCTCCAGGTCTCTGATGAAGAACTGGCAGTTGGAGTTCCACTTGGGATTCAGCGTGTCCTGGATGGTCTTGGTGATGTGACACTGGGAACCCATGGTCACCTCGCAGTAAGGGTTGCTCTTTCCTGGGGTGAACAGAGCCGGTTCGAGTGCCGCCCACTGACAGGCTCTCCTGAGGCGCCCGGAGGGCCTCATGGCCCCATAGGCAGCCGCTGCCCTCACGCCCTGTCACTTCCCTCCCCTCCATTGCCACGCTTAATTAGCGGCATAAAATGGAGAAACTGGGCGTTTGAAAGCCCTGCCATCCAGCCTCACACTTAGGCCAAGAGCAAACCATCAGATACGTGGGCTTTTCAAGTAGGCCTTGCGTTTCTTCTCCCTTCAGACTTCTCTTGCTCAGACGCCCGCGGAAGGCAAAACGGGAGAAAGGATAACAACCTCGAGGTTTTTCACAAGGGCTAGGAAAGCCAATCCCGGAAGGAAATGTAGGATTATGGAAATAGAGTGGGGTGGGGAGGGCAGCAAAAGCTTCCACCACTGGAGGGGGCAGGAGGGGCTTCTTGGGGCCTTACCGTGGGAGCGACAGGGCTTCAACTCAATGCCTTCCACGACGTTCACCATCAACCTTCCGATACCTGTCGCCCTTTGGGAACGGACTGCGGCGGTAGGAAAAACAACACAAAGAGCTTCATTTTAACATCTGAGGCCCTTCCCGCCCCTGTTTGCCTCACAGTCCATTTTCTGTAAATGTCCTCATTCAGGAATACTCCCCCCTCCTCTCTACAAACTTCCCTGCCCCTGGAATGTGCCCTCCGTTTCTCATCCCACCCCCGCTGCCCCCTTCCACCCCAGCTCAGTCCTCTCCTCTGCCTCCAGGCGCAGCTTCCAGCTCTAAGCGTGCTGGGGCCAGCCAGGTGACCCTCCTGCCCCAACATTGCCCAAGCAATCCCTTACCAAGGTACGCCTTCTCTCGCTTCTTTTTCTCCGTCTCTATGTAGAGTTCAGAAGCAGCTTTGATTTTCTGCACCCAAGCAGTCCTTAGAAAGGAAAAGGCAGACAGCTGCCAACCAGAACTCAGGAGAAAGGCTCCGTCTGGCCAAATCCAGTTTCCAGGACTCCGTTTTCTGTGTTCGTTTGATTTTAACAACAAAGGCTCAGGAGAGAGAGTCTAGTTTTATGTCTCAGGATGCTGGTGGTTATCCCTACCGTTAGTAAGAAAGGTATGAATGACAGTTTTGTCAACGTACCCAAGACCTGCATTTGCGGAAGACAACGTGAGAAATGCTGCCAGGAGGGGTACCAGCACACTCCTCCTCCTCCTTTACTGAGAAGTATTCGACAGTTACCTAACCCAGTCATGACAGAGGCGCTTTCTTATGAAATCACCCAAAGAAAGAACAGAAACCATTTCCCGGACACCAGTGCCAGTTGAGTCAATTCCGACTCATGGCGCCCCCATGTGTGTCAGAGTAGAACTGTGCTCCACAGGGTTTGCAGTGGCTGATTTTTCTGCAGTAAACGCTAGGCGTTCTTTCCAGGAGCCACTGGGTGACTTGAGGCTCCAAGCTTTTGGTTAGCAGGCGAGTGTATTAACTGTTTGCACCACCCAGAGACTTTTCCCAGACAGGGAATCACTTTATACGAAAGAACAAAAACCCACTGTGGGGAGCACTTCACCGTGGTGTTTTCTCCTTTTCTAAGAACCACGTGCACATCAAATTTAGCCAGGTTTTTTTTTTTTTTTGCATGGCACAAATGCACCTGTGCCAAATGTGTGCCAGATTTACCCATCAGAAGATAATTTCATTTGGATCCAGGACGGAGTCTAGAAGACACAACAGCAGTGAAATACCCACAACCTTAGAATCCAGAATACCTGTCCAGGTAAGCCAGGTGAGGAATTTGGGTTTGGGTGTTTGTATGAATCCTCAAATCGCTTTCCTATAGGTTTCTGCCACCTGGGAAACCTTGGCATTCTCAGATGCTCCAATTATCTCCAGAAATGCTCAGAAATTCTCAAAAAAATTCTCAAGCAAAATTCGTTTCAATTTCTTTTTATTTTGAAAAATTCATGCCATGTGTCCAACGTGGAGAGGCTATAGAAGAAAGTATTATGACCTCCAGCCAGAGATGATGGCATTGCAACTGGGGGGCTTGGGGGATGCTGATTAATTAAAGGTCCAACCTGTGTCCTACCCACGAATGGAGGAAGGACAGGGAAGTGAGGGACAGGGAACACGGGTGTCCAGGGCTGCCGAGGTGACAAGTCTCACCTTTCGTTTATGCTTTCTGCACGGAGGGTGTAGACTCTGTCGATGTGGGAAATGTGGAAGATAGGCTCATCTCCAGAAGGGTCAGTGGGTAACTTCACTAGAACCTCGTTTAGGAAAATAGGCTGAAAAAAGAATACACAGGCATTATACAACTAGACGCGCGTCGGAGTGTTCCAGTAAGCTCGACCGTGTGTGTGTCTATGCGTGTGTGTGTGTGTGTGTTCCAGTAAACGAGACTCTCTCAACGTGTATGTACATGTGCTCCAGTAAATTAAACTGTGTATATGTTCTGGTAAATTAGACTGTGTATCTGCATGTGTTCCCGTAACTAGCCTGAAGGCGTGTGTGTACATGCGTGTGTAACCCAGTAAGCTAGACTGCATGTGTGTTTTTGTATATGTGTTCCCATAACCTAGACTGCGTATGTTCCACCAAATTAGACTGTATATGTACATGTGCTCCAGGGAACTAGGCTGTGTGTACGTGTGTGCATGTGCTCCAGGAAACTAGGCTGTGCATATGTGTGTGCGTGTGCTCCAGGAAACTAGGCTGTGTGTGTGTGTGTGCATGTGCTCCAGTAAATTAGACTGTGCGTGTGTGTGTGTGTGTACACGTGCTCCAGTACACTAGACTGTGTATGTGCATATGTTCCAGTAACCAGAATGAGGGGGTGTGTTTCTGTGTGCATGTTCCAGTAAACTATACTGAAATAATCACTTTATAAAAACATAAAATTGTATATATTACAAGTTGCAATTATGGATTATTTCCTCCTCCATTTGGCAGGTATTTTTAAGTCCTTCAGAATAAGATCTGACTGGTCCATCTTTCCCATAGTACATTCTGGCTGAAAAATAATTCCTAACTGACAAATAGTCTCCATCAACTTTACACCCAACTCTGTGCAATGATTTTCATATAAAGTTTCCAGTGAGAATCTGCATAAATACAGCACTCTTTTCCCCAAAATAAAACTAACTGCTGCTTCAGAGGAAACTCTTCTGTAAGGAAACACCCCTACACAGACAAATTTAGAAAAACAATACCCGTGACACAGAGACACACAGACACAGCCGGGCATGTATGAGAGACCCAGATAAGCAGCCGGGGAAGTTCTCCACACGTTGACTGTTGAGTTTGGTTTTTGCTGGAAAGGGTGAGGGGCTCAGATACCTCCAGCTACCTTGAGCAGACTGGTGGGGGATTTGGGGCTGTCCAATGCTTTGTACCTCTAAAGGGAGCTTATCCCCACCTGCCTCCTCTGTGCACTAAACCAGGAGCTCCCACAGGGCAAGGCCTGCTTGTCGTGGTTATGGTGCGGGACCCACAGCAGCCATTGGTGGTTAATGCACATTCCATCTGTTAAACTGAGTGTCACTCCATTTCTGTCATTATTGGAACTGCAGCTGGACATGGACTATCCTCCACTTCAGTTACCCTAAATCCTGGGTCCTCTTCTCTACCAAAACCCAAACCACACCCGTTGCCATCGAGTCGATTCCGACTCTTAGCGACCCTATAGGACAGAGCAGAACTGCCCCATAGGGTTTCCAAGGAGCAGCGGGTGGATTCAAACTGCCTACCTCTTGGTTAGCAGCCAAGCTCTTAACCACGGTGCCACCAGGGCTCCCCTCTTCACTACAGTCCCCCCAGAAACAAAAACCAAATCAGTTGTTGGCTGTGACCTTTCGGAGGCAGATTTCCAGACCTTTCTTCCCAGGCACCTCTGGGCAGGTTCAAACTGTCAACCTCTTGGTTAGCAGTTGAGTGCCTAACCATTGGCGCCACTGCTGAAACCCTGGCGCCTTTTGGAAAAGCTCTCCTCCCCAAGCACATCAACCCTGATACCACAATCTCAAATCCAACTTACTGTTTTGTACATTTTATACTGCAGGTTAGATTTGGGGCTGAAGACCTTGTCGGTGCCAGAAGACCCCAGGGGCTTTATGATCTGGGTCAGCAGGAGGAAGTCGTTGAAGAGAAAGCCATACAGTTCCTTGCTGCTCTTGGCTTTGTAGAGTTTCCCACCGTGCAGGAACTTGCGTGGGCCCAAGCAATTGGTCACTGAATTGAACACAAGTTGCTGAGGGAGGAAAACAAAACCCAAAGAAGAGACGATGAAGGGAGGTCGTCATTTTTTGTGTTTTTGGTTTTTGCATCGGAAAGCGCGGCTCCATCAGACTCTGAGGCCGGGCCCCAGCAGGGCCCTTTTCTAGGCACACATCAAGGACGACTTTGCCGATGGCAGTGCCACTCAGAGCCGAGTAAGCAATCTCTCCAGGGTACGGTTCTAGGGATCCCGAATGAGAAGCCGAGTCCCGTTTATAATCCCTAGTGCTTTCCGCTAGGGGTTTGCTAGTGCCTTTGGATGATTGCTACTCTTCTCACTTTTATTTACTGGGGAAGCTGGGCAGCAGGAAGAAAACTACGGGCCCTCTCCCACGTGGACCTGTATCTGCTGCGTGCCGGGAGGTGACATGCACCACCTCCAATCAGGAGGCCCCACAGGCTGCAACAGCCAGCCCTTCAGGCTTCTGCCCAGCAGCGGCGACTCTCTCTCTGGACTTTTGCGGGCCGAGTGCTACCTTCCAGAAGGGGCACATTTAGAGTCCAGACCTCTAGCACATGGGTGACCACAAAACTCAGCAGTGACGCTTGAAAGCCAAACAAAACAGACACTGTATTGGTGCCCGTTCAGTCTCCCCGACTCACTCACTGCGACAGTGTGACGGGGCAGATCTTTCCCTGCCACTTAGCAATCCCTGGAGACGGCACCGAGGGTTAGGATGCGGCTCTAACGTCCCACTGGGTTCTATCATCTTACACAAGCAGGTTCTGACGGGGTAGCGGGGACTAGGCAGAGAAGACCCCCGTGAAAGTTGCCCCTTTTTGAAGCAGGGGAGGGGCCGAGGGACACGAAGGCCACAGCTGTGTGCCAGGCAGCGAAATGATCCAGGCAGGTGGCAGATCCTTCAGAGTCCCCACCTGTCCACACTCAGGCCCCCAGAGGGCACTCCACCAGCAGCCCGCAGGGCTGAGGCTCTGTCCAGAGCTACTGAGCCCCATAGACTTGTCTGAGGAGATTATTTGTGAAGGAGTATTATGGATTGAATTGTGTCCCCCCAAAATGTGTCAACTTAGCTAGGCTATGATTCTCAGTATCGTGTCGTTGTCCTCCAATTTGTGATCTGATGTGTTGTAAATCCTAACCTCTATGATGTTAATGAGGCAGGATTAGAGGCAGTTATGTTAATGAGGCAGGAGTCAATCTACAGGATTAGGTTGTATCTTGAGTCAATCTCTTTTGAGATATAAAAGAGAGAAGTCAGCAGAGAAGAAAGGGACCTTCTACCACCAATAAAGAAGCACTGGGAGTGGAGCGTGTCCTTTGGACCTAGGGACCCTGCACTAAGAAACTCCTAGACCAGAGGAAGATTGATGACAAGGACCTTCCTCCAGAGCCGACAGAGACAGAAAGCCTTCTCCTGGAGTTGGTGCCCTGAATTCGGACTTCTAGCCTCCTAGACTGTGAGAGAATAAATTTCTGTTTGTTAAAGCCGTACGCTCGTAGTGTTTCTGTTATAGCAGCACTAGGTAACTAAGACGAGGTGACAGGGCTCACAACATGTGTCTCCCAAGAGATGCTGGTGGCTACCCTTCTACCTCCAACACAAGAGAAGGAATCAGCAGTGCCTCTGTGACAGAAGACCTACTGGTGGCAAGAAAGTGTGGCCACACCACCCCATTCTGCTCTTGGGTACAAGGAGGGAGAAGTGGTCTCTAACCTCCAGAGAGGCTCTAAAAGAGCCCAAAAGCCCAACTGGAGCCTTCAAAAAATATTCTCCACGCCCTTGCACTCTGAACAGGAGCCTGGAATCAATCTATCCCTTTCTGCTTGCCAAGAGAGAATTCAAGTCACTTGAAGACAATGAATCAAGAGAAGGCAAATGTCACTGGACCCAACACTAGGAGATGAGTATCGTTCATTTACACTCGAAGTTTAGGGCCCCTAGTTGGCCAGGCTTACATTGAGCATATAGGAATTGAGGATAGTCTTTAAATATCCAGAAGAACAACTAAATCAGTCTTAGAAGAAATACAACCAGTATGCTCCTTAGAAGCGAGGATGGCAACACTTTGGCTCACTTACTTTCGACACATCATCAGGAAAGACCAATCTCTAGAAAAGATATGTTTGGTAAAGTAGAGGGTCGGCAAAAACAAGGGAAGCCCTCGATGAGATGGATTGAACTACGACCGCAACAATGGACTCAAACATAGCAACGATCATGAAGATGGCACAGGGCCAGGCAAGGTAAGGTCACCGTGAGTCAGAGTCGACTTGACGGCAGCTAACAACAAATCTTCAGACAAGAACGCCAAAGACAGCATTTATCTGAAACTTCATCCCTGGTGTGTGTCCGGATCTGGGCCACACAGGGTACACATATGACAGTAAGGAAACAGAGACATTGTATCCACTTCCCGTTATTCTGCACACCATGAAGAGAAAAGCAAACTGGTGCACAGTAACTAGGAAAAACCAATCAATAAAGAAGAGCAACAGTCTCATTTCAAGGAGGGTATATAAGCCACAAAATGCAAGGACACAAACTCTGTTTTAGGATGAAGATCCAGGCCGCACTCTGCCCCCTCTGATTGAAGCCGTCAGACTCAGGGAAGGTCCCCTTTCTACACTGCATCTTGCCAGGTTGGCATTTCTGCCTGGTATAGTCCAGAGGAGGGGGCTGCTCAGTTGCCTGCGTCTTCAGGGTCAAGTTCACTCTCTTGTGAATGACACACACGCCCTTCCCCACCTGGCCTCAACCTGCCTTATCTTCTCTCGTTCCCCAAATTCCTCACCAACACCCTGCTCATGCTGTGCCCTTTACCCATAGTCTCCTTCCCCTGGATTCTTTTTTTTTTTTTTATTGAGCTTTAAGTGAAAGTTCACAGTTCAAGTTAGTTTCTCATACAAAAATTTATACACATGCTGCTATGTGACCCTGGTTGCTCTCCCTATACTGTAACAGCACACTCCTCCTTTCTACCTCAGATATCCCATGTCCATTCAACCAGCTCCTGTCCCTTTCTGCCTTCTCATCTCACCTTTGGACAGGAGCTGCCCATTTAGTCTCATGTATCTACTTGAGCTAAGAAGCACACTCCTCACGAGTATCACTTTATGTCCCACAGTCCGGTCTAATCTTTTTCTGAAGAGTTGGCCTCAGGAATGGTTTTAGCTCTGGGCCAACAGAGAGTCTGGGGGCCGTGTCTTCTGGGGTCCCTCCAGTCTCAATCAAACCATTAAGTCTGGTCTTTTTACTAGAATTTGAGTTCTGCTCCCCACTTTTCTCCTGCTCCATCCTCCCCCTGGATTCTTTTACTAGAGAGATATCTTCATCCTTCAACACCCAAACAAGTGTCACCTTCTCTGATGCTTCTCTGAATCCCCCACTTGGCTGTTCCTTCCTCCTCACTGCCTGTTCCTGCAGCACTTGACACCTAACTCTGCCTCATCACTTCTCATATTTTGTTGTAAATATTGGTTTAACCCATCTGCTTCCTCCAGGACTGTAAGCTCCTTGTGAGCAGGGCTCACATCTTATTTTCATATCCTTGTGTTTGGTACTGAGCAATGGCACAGGGGCAGGTGTCCGATTAATGTTCATTGAATGACGAGTGAGTAAGCGCATGGGCAACCAGCCAATGAATGCTGCTGGACTGCTTATCAATGGCAAATTCCAAAATGGGAGCCCACATCTATCACCTTGGTTTCCACAAAGCTGCTTCCACAACTTTGCTTATCCTACACCTACACTGAAGGATAGGGGAGGTGAGCATGGGGGAGGGATCTGTGGTGGTGATTTCCTCAATGCTGACTGCCTCTGAAGCTTATAAGAATGAAGGAACCACAGGGAGAATGGATGGGGGAAACATTCTCTCTGGGCATTTTGAAAAACCCTAGTGAATGGTGTGTGCATGCCAGTGTGTGTGTGTTCATGTGTGTGTGTACATATGTGTACAGAGGCAAAGAGAAAGATAAAACAGGCAGAAAGAGTGAATGAGATTAAACAAAAGGTAAGTGACAAGAAAAGAATTAAAGACCAAAGAAGAGACTTCTGTTTCTGGCATTATGGTGGACTAGATACTCTGAATGACTCACACAGCAAAAAAAAAAAGAAAAAAAAATGGAGTAAAATATAAAAATCTATTTTTTAAATGCAAACAAACTGGCAAAAAAAAAAAAAAAAAAAGTAAGAAATTTGTAGAGACCAAAAAGAAAACGAAAACGGGGACTCTGGAAGATAAACAAGCACCAAACCCAGCTTTAGTCTGAGATTCCCTTTTGAATCTAGTGACCCTGAGCTTTCATTTTAGGGGCTCCATAGGATGCAGGAGACAAGAAATGTGACCCAGAGCCCACTCAAAGTAAAAGATCTAATAGGAGATTTCCACAAAAATCTGGGTCCCAAAGGATGAATGACAAATAAACTCAAGCACAGAAGGGATGAGCAAGAAAGCATGCCTGTTCTAACTTTGGTGTAACTGGAGAAAAAAAATTACCCTGGGAATTTGTAACCACAAGTCAGCTCTCACACAAGTTCACAATCTCAATTCATGCAACCAGTGTGATCCAAAAACTCCTCTAAATTTCATTTAGGGTGATCCATTGCTAAGTCTCACCATCCTCTCAGGAGGACTGCAACTTAAGACCCCAAAGATTCCCACAGATGAAATTCCAAGGAACATTGAGCTTACAGTAAAAAATCACAATACATACAGAGAAACAAGGCATGTTTAGTGAGGCCTAGCAGAAAAGACAGATAGCAGAATCAGACCCAATATAATATGAAAATTTTAGATATTGGAATTATTAGATCCAGAATATACATACATATGTTTAAAATGTATTCAGAAAGAAATGAGAAGCATGAACATTTGAGCAAGAATCAAGAGACAAGAAAAAACAAGCATATTTGAGAAATAAATATAACTGCTGGAAACAGAAAATAAATAAAAAACTCAGTGGATAGATTAAATAGCAGATTAGAAGCAGCCAAAGACCAAATCAGTAAATTGTAGGCTGAAGAAGACAGTTGATGATTTTGCTTCTCCTCTTTTAGGCTGGCTGCTGAAGCTCAGCCAGGAGAGGCCTGAAGCCCACCCCCAAGCCAGCTACCTCAGACAGGCCTTCACACTGCACATGGGCTTGGATCCACTCCAGCCGGTCAGAGTTCTCCTTCTCGCGCACTCCTTCATTCACCTGGGAACACAGCTCTTCTGCCTTTTCCAGGGCGTGTTTCAAGTGGCTGTAGTCGGGATGGTTTTCAGGAGTGTTTTCCAGGATCTACATAGGAGAACAAAAGACAACAATCTCCTTGTTGTGCCACTCTTTTAGACAATGTGGGTGAGCCTGGGGTTTGTTGCCCTGGAGGACCAGGGCCGGCAGGGACAGGGTGCAGTCCTTTCCTGCTCAGCCCACTTGAGAAACCACAGCTTTGAGCACCCACCTTGGCAATGAACATGGAGCACAATGGCCACTCCCTGTTGGCTCCAGCAGGTGGCCTTGCAGTGGGCCTTTCCTCTTCATGGGCCCAGGTGGAGTCCAAGGCTCCTGCCAGAGGGGCAATGGATGTTCCAGCCTTCAAGGCCTCATCCCCAGCCCCATGGCCCTGGAATATCTCTGCAGCAAGATGAGTGGCCTGCCCAGCAAAATGCCAAAATCCCAAGGTGAACATGTTGATGGTCCTAAACCTCAAATGCAAACTCACAGAATCATGGATGGTACACACAGGATTAGAGCCAAAGTTTCTCTTTGAAAATCTTCACTCTGTTTTACAGATGAAGAAACTGAGTCCAGAGACAAGGACCAGAACCCAGGCTTCCCAGTCCCAATTCAGTGTTCTCCCACCTACTCGCTCACCTGAGGGAACTTAGAGCAGAATTCCAGTGTTTGATCTGAATAGTGTCCCATTAACTCACCAATCAGGGTCTAAGAGTTGGCATGGTACCCTTATGGGGTGGAGGGATAATGCCATATTATTTATGTTTAGCATATAGCCTGGGGTATTGAGGAGAGCAGTGGCTAAAACAAGTGTAGTAGGCACCCCACGGATTTGTCCTAGAGAATGACTCTTTCCAGGATCCATGTATATTTGAGGGCACCTACGTTCCTCTGGAACCATATTCAGATAGGTGCATTGGAGCAAACGTGTGTTCTTCTGGGTAGTCCATCCCAAGCAAGTGGTTAAAAGTGCCAGTTCTGGAGCCAGATCTCCTGGGTTAAAACTCCTGCTCTGCTATTGACCAGTCATGTCTGGGTGAGCCATATAAATGCTCTGAGTCTCGGTTTCCTCATATGAAACACGGGGATACCAATAGCGCCTTCATTATAAGGTTGTTTGGAGGATTAAATGATGAAATAGAAATAAATCACTTGGCAAAGTACCTGGCACTTAAAAAGTGTCCAATAAGTGATGGCAGTTACCATCAGATTCTAAAAGGACTTCGAGGGCCCTAAAAACAGTCATCATCCTCTCCTCCAGGGTGACAATGAAGAAAGACCCTAAATCACCTTTGGAATATACCAAGAGAAGGTTAAAGACATGGTACTTGTCTAGGCCTTGTCCACATATAGATAATTCAAATGGACTTCACCCTGAAATAATATCTCATCTCAAAGTTAACACATGGGTTTAAAGTCCTATGTAGGCACCTACATTGAGAAAACATGTTCTTGGTCCTGGAGTTTCCACCAATCAATATCTCATCTCAAAGTTAACACGTGGGTTTAAAGTCCTATGTAGGCCCCTACACTGAGAAAACATGTTCTTGGTCCTGGAGTTTCCACCAATCAATTCCAAGCCACAACCCAACCTCTGTACATTAGACTCCCTGGGGAGCTTTGAAAACTCCTGAGGCCCACCTCATCCCAAACCCTATCGGAATCCTTGGGGGTGGGCTTCGGCATCAGAACTTTCTAAAGCTCTCCAGGTGATTCCAATCTGCAGTCAAGCATGAGGACCACTGCTCTATACTGGGAACCCACACAGCCGGCATGTGTGAACGCCTGTGTTTTGTCTTGGTTCATTTCAAAATGAAAATAGGTTTATTGGTTTTTCTAACTGTAAAAGTAGTATGCATGCAATGTAAAAAATTTAGAAAATTCAGGAAATTATAAAGAACATAAAAGTCACCCATAATATCCTTATCTGGAGAGAACCTTTGTCTGCGTATTAGTGTACTCTGCTAGATGCATACCTACAAAAAAAAAATTTTTAATAAAAACTGGATCATACAATTATACTGTACATTTTTTACACTACTGTTTCCACCTAACAGCAGGTATAGCGTGTCACATGCATTCTAAGTGCATCACATGCATTTAAATAGTTACCTTCTGATAAAACTTCATGCTGTTTCCAGTTTTTCAATATAATAAATATTGCTATAAATTCTCCTATATAGGTCTTTGAACAGTTCTCTGATTATTTCCTTAGAATAATTTCCTAGATGTGGAATTGCTAAGCCAAAGAAAATGTGTAGTTAGCTCTGTATACTGTCCTCCAAAAGGCTCTACCAATTTATCTTCCACCAACATCCTTGCCAACACTGGGACCTACAGTTTTTTCAATATATGCCAATATGATAAGCCAAAAACAAGATATTTTCTTTTCTTTTTTTTAATGTGTCCCCTTTATTACTAGTGAATTTGAATTTTTTGTACATTTAGTGCATAAGTGTACTAAATAATAAAGCTAACAGTTATATAGTGCTTAGCATGAGTGAGGCACTTGACGTATATTAACTCAGGTAATTCAGTATGCAATACTAAGCAGTAACAACACTATGCAGTAGGTACTGTTACTATTGCTGTTTTACAGTCAAGGAAACTAAGGCACAGAGAGGGTAAGTAACTTGCCCAAGGGCACACAGTGGTGGTGCCGATATTCAAACCCAGGCAGACTGGCTCCAGAGTCCATGCTCTTTACCGCTACTCTAGATTGCCCTTGGAGCTTTAACTCCTACTTATGCTGTAGTTGAATTGGAGAAATCTTTAAGAAAATTTATCAAATCACTATGGGACAAATAACAGATGAAGTTGCTAGTGAGATGAAAACACAACACTGATCTCTGACCTCATAAACCAAGGTGACATGAGATAACAGATTAGCCTTAGATTTTTATTATCCCAAGAAAGTGTAGTTTGTGCTGTAGACGAGATTTACATAGAATTGGACAGTAAGCTACTTGGTTACACATTGTAACACTCTTACAGACACCCGAATTGTTTGATTGGTTACCATCAGGAGTAAGTTCTTGGGCTAGATCAGTATTGCAAGGGATAGCAATATTCTTAGTCTGCATCCTGATAGTATTAGGCATAATAAAAATTATCTTCTATTGTCTTACACATTTAAAAGGAAAAGAAGGCCTTGGGCTAAAATGTTGATGTACATTGAGTCTGCTTACTTCAGCAATGCAATTGATGAGAACATCGCTCTTACTTAAGATCCTGGTGAAGAACCAGATGGTATCCGGTGGAAAACCAGCACCGTGAGTTTAAAAAGCCTGCAATGGCTGGCATCTAGGAGCTCGACTAAGTCCAGGTATTGATCATCGATGTGTTAACTCCAATCTCTGATCAAAAGGAGGGAATGATTTAGGAAATAATATTGGAGTTATTATTCCCTCTCCTTGAGCATAGAGAATGTGACCCAGCTGGAGCTGGGCTCACAACGGCTCACAAGGACACATCAACTGGGCCCTGAGGTACAAAGACAATAGCTAGGATAATCTTGGAAAATATATTTTAGGGAATTTTCACATAAGCCAATCAACCAAAACACAGAAGACTTTCCACTCTTATCTTTTTCTATGAACACTTAGTGAATAGAAATTTTGTTGGACCAATGAAGACCCCTCTTGTTACCTGACTCTTGTTACTGAAAACTGTACCAGTGATTGTTAAGAAAGATGATTCAAAATGTAGGATCACAGTTTCTAGCTAATCTGTGAAAAGGTGAAGCTTTCAATGGTTTGCCCATTTGTAATGGTAATATATACTGACGACTCTGTAACGTTCCCTGGACTCAGGCAGACATGGCTGTGGCAGCATGCTTGTCCATTTTCCCATTCTTGCCTATTCTGTAATATTCTTCGGACTCAGGCAGACATGGCTGT